AATCCTATACAAATCCTAAATCCTAAATCAAATCCTAATCAAAACCTAAATAATTCAAACTAATTATAAGATAGATTAGAACTTCAATATCTATTGATTAAAATACTGATCTTGCTTAAAAGTTTAAACACCTTTGAATTTCTTAGTTAAAAACAAGAACAACAATTTTGAAGATAATTTCACTTATTAAATAGAAGAAAAAATCTTAAAATCTCCTTGAATGTTGGTTGGCCTCCTATTCCACTCTAAATGTTGAACTTTTAGCACTAAAATCTCCTTCTTGAATCATTGAATTTCTCCCAAATTTTACTTAAACTATTAAAAATCAAGTTTAGTCTCCACATAAAATATATATATATATATATATATATATATATATATATATATATATATATTGAATCCAATCAACAAGTCACTAAGAATCTTAAAAATACTCATTGACCCTCAAACTCCAATTTCTAAGACCTCAATCTACAAAAATTCTACACTTTGATCTAACTATTTGATTGATCTCAAAATTTGCACACACATTTATAACTAATATACCAACACTCTATCCAAAATTTATCTATATACATACCACAAAACTCAAAAAACCCTCAAATATGTAATAATAGTTTTATTTTTTAAAATCTAAACCAATCAAAAACATGATTAATTTTGAAAATTCTTTGAAAATTGAGAATTAATTCAATTCATATTAAACTAATGCCCATATTTTTTTTTTGCAAATTTTCTCTCAAATCCCACTATTTGATCTCTCAAAAAGTTAAAGAGTCACCATAGGTGCATGGTTTTGTATCTAAGGGTCTGATTTCAATCCAAGTTGACAATTGATCCTCTTCGAGTTAGGCTTCTTGAAGTAAATTTTGCTAAAGTATATTCTTAAATCCCTCTTATATATGTATATATTATTTTATTTTCTAATCTATTTTATTTTATCTTATTTATGGTCATATAAAGTAAATAGAAGCCTATTTCATGAAAAAGAAGCAATGATATCTTTTAGTTTTATTATCTTTTTGACTATTATCTATTTTTTAAGATAATTTTTTATAGTATTATATAATAAGATCTTCTATAATATAATTTTTTCTTCTCTCTTTCATTCATTAATTATATTACATCATGATAATGGAATCTATAATGTTTCTTTAGATTTGTTAATTTCTATCAAATATTTATTAAGAATTATTTCCAAGTTGTTGTTCTTTTCACTTAGTTGACATCCAAAGATAAATTAAAATGGACACCTCAAGCACAAAGGGATTGTCAGGATTTGAGAGTAAGTTTTATTATAGTTTTAATCTTACTACATCCAGATTTGATGAAGGCCTTTTATTTAGAAAGTGATATTTTCAACTTTGTATTAAGAACTATACTATTACAAATAAAAAATGATAGAAAGTTCCATCCAATTACATTCTATTCTAAAAAGTTTTTAGCTGTAAAAATCAATAATGAGATTCTCAATAAAGAGCTTTTTGTGATTGTAGACTCTTTTTAAGAATAGTGTCAGTTATTGGAAGGCGCTACACATCATGTGACTATATATACATATCACAAAAATTTGGAGTATTTCATGTCAACTTGGATTTTAAATTGCCGCCAAGCTCATTGAAATATGTCATTATTTTTTTTTGATTTTGTAATTATATATTGATCAAAAAAGCAATAATGACTATCAAATGCTTTATCAAAGAAATCATATCTTATTTTGAAGATTGGAGAAGTAGCATTTGATTAGTAATATACCACTCTCCTAAAGCTAGAATAATTTTATCTTTGTGCTATTTCTATGATTACACTTGTTGATTCAAGTCTTTTTGAAAAAAATTGTATCATGTCTACTAAAAAGTCATTAGTTTGTAATATCAAGTAGCACCTCAATAATGACAAGTTCAAGTTTTTAGAAGATCTTTTGTATTTTAAAGATCATTTATATATTCCAAAAGGACCAATGCAACTTTATGTTCTTTAATCTTCTCATGATTTTCCAACTACAAGATATTTTAGATTTAACAAAACATTGGAGCTTATCTTTCAAGATTTTTAGTGGCTTTAAAAATAGAAGATTATAAAAGACTTTGTCCTCTTATGTAACATCTATTCAAGATCTAAGAATTTCCTAAATCATCTTTATGGACATTTAGAGCCACTATCAATCTTAAAGCAACCATAGTCTTCAATATCAATGGATTTTATCACTAATATGCCACCATCAATTATATTTGATACTATCTATGTTGTTGTAGATCGACTTACAAAGATGGCACATTTTGTTCCATATAAAAAGGTAATTTTTGTAGAAGAAATCGCAAGGATCTTTCTTCATAATATATATTGACATCATGGCCTACTTAATAACATCATTTTTGATCAACGACCTGAATTTATATCAAAGTTTTGGAAATTTTTTTTTTTGAGATATTGAAGATAGATATCAAACTTTTTTCTACATTTTATCCTTAAATAGATGATTAAGTAGAATAAATCAATCAAGTTTTGGAGCAATATTTGTGATGTACTATCAACTATCAATAAGATGATTGAACCTTGTATTTAGCTTTAGCAAAGTTTGTTATAATAATACTCTTTATGCTTCCATTTAGCATATATTATTTTACTCTAATTATAATTATCATTTAAAACTTGATTTGTTATGTACATCAAAGGATGAAAATCCAATAATTGAAGATCTTGTAAAATAATTGTCACAAATCCAAACAACTTTGAAGATCTATTTATAAATAACTTAAGATTCTTACAAAGCATCTTCAAATAAATTTAGAAAAGAATTCTTTACTTTTCAAGTTGGAGATAAAGCATGGTTCTTTGACAAAATATTAAGACCAATTGGTCTTGCAATAAGTTAGACTACCAAAGACTGGGGCCATTTTATATTCAAAAGTAAATCAATCTAATGGATTATCAGTTAAAACTACCCACATCTATAAAAGTACATCCAATCTTTTATATTTTTCTTTTAGAGGCTTATTTAGAATCAATTCTTCTAAGAAGAATATAACTATTATTGTCTTACATTGAAATATACAATCATATGGAATATGAGGTAGAAAAAATCCTTAATTCTCGATGAAAAAGAGGCAAGTCACAATATTTTATTCATTGGCACAACTACAATATCAATGAGCATATATGAAAATTAACAAAAAATCTAATTAATGTGTCGCAAAAGATATAGGAGTTTTAACAATATTATCTTCAAAAATCTAAACCTATTTTAAGATGATTTCTCTATAAAGCTAGTGCTAAACTATTGTATATAACAAAAAAAGTAGATATGAAATCAATATTCTTTGTAGAACTCAAAATTTGAAGGATCGATGATGTTACAAATATCTAACAAGAAGATTTTAGAAATATTTTTAGAATATTCTATTAAGTTCTAAAGGTTCCAAAAGATTCTTAAAATATTCTTTAAATATTTTTAAAATATTTTAACAACTTTTAAAAATTTCTTGAGAGAATAAGAAAATTGTCTAAGAAGCTTCTTAGAATTGCTTTATCTTTAACCAATATAAAAACTTCTTGAGAAGCTTCTTAAAGTTGCTTCATCTTTAAGCAACATGAGAACTTCTTAAGGATCTTCTTAAGGTTGATTCATCTTCAATCAGTATAGAAACTTCTTGAGAAATTTCTTAATAGCTAGTATATATTGGAGTCAAGGCTAAAGGGATCCTCAATCTTGCCAACACATTATTTGGATTTCTAACTCATCTCTCTTACTATTGATCTTGTATTCATCAAATTTAATCAAGTTCTTGTTAGCTTTCTTGTTGAAACTTTTTTGTTCAACTTCTTATTTGGTCTCTTGTATAATTGATCCATGACACCTATAAGTTGTTTTTTTTTTTTTTTTTTTTTTTTATCTACCATGCTCACAAGCTCCATTGCTTCAACCATTCTATAAGCACATAGTTGGATTTTTATTATCATTTCAACAAGAAACCATGGATGAATGGGATTCTTTTTCAAGAATGGCTAAAAAAAACTCAATAAAGAAATGGGGAGGGCATGTTGGCAGATCCTACTCTTAATGGACAATGTACCATTGTACATTACAAACAATTGAATGACTCTCAACGTTGATATTTGTATGCTTCCTCTAAATATTACAACGAAGATCCAACCAAAAGATGCTAGAATTATTGTGGCATGTAAGTAGCACTACCAATGCATCTATTTGCAAAATACACTTGATCAAGATAAGCAAAATGAGCTCAATCTATACAAGGTTAATGAATTGACAACATTGTATTAGTTACTTATGACTTGGGCAAAACTATCTTTAACAACAATAAAAAAAAAAAAAAAAAAAAAAAAAACTACTTCAAACATATTGGGCTATTTAAACAAGCACTTAAAGTTGCAAAAATCAACAATATTGAAGTGGATATAATTTGAAATCTTCCATTAAAAAATCTAGTATCAATCAAGAACTTGCCCAACCTAGTCAAAAAAAATTGCACACATTTCAAGCTAAAAGTTTACAAGATTATTGAACTTATTTATCATCAAAGATGTTGACAACACCCTTAAGAAAGAATTGGCACCTATGTCATTTACGCACATGAAGAAGCTACAAAGCCTTTCCATTGTTATCTCCATTCTTGGTATTGGAAATCTTGGTGAATATGCTATCTACAAGACTCTTCACAACATTCAACAAAAGTTGCATACAAAAGCTCTCCATCAAAGCACACTCCATTTCTAGCTAAGATAGTTGCACTTTTCCCCATGCTTTCTCTTTTTTCCCCTCCACAGTTTTTTTTCGTCAAGGCCATAACTGAAAACTTAGGAGAAATATAACATAACCACAATAGAATAGAACCATGTTGGTTCCTCCATTTTCTTATAATTTACAGGAGGTTAAAACTTAGTGCGAGAGAACTTAGCATAGGATACAATTTATGGCTGAATCATCACCTCCATGTTACTCCAAAGGCAACAAGATCAATGTCAAGCAGGCAGATTAGTCATGAAGAAAGCCACTGACAGGGAGTTGCTCTTTGCCATCCTAAAAAGACTCGGACGTGCAATTCTAGCATCATACATCGGTGGGTTAACCAAACGTCTTGGTAGAAATAGGGCATTATACACCTTTTCTACGTGTAAACCTTTCTAGCCGCCATCACACGTATTCCAATTGGTGAGGCAACATTTATCTTCTACTAAGATACACACCCAGCTCTTAGAAACAGAGGAGGTGACATGAGCATATGGAAAACCTCTCAAAATTCGTGACATACTTGCTCTCACATTCCATGGGAAGAACAGAAGCCCTATACCAAGATGAGAACTGAGAACATAATCCATAACAGAGAATCAGCTGAAACTAGAGCAAGGACCTTCAATATCCAGCCAATGCAACTTGGACTCTGAATAGACAGCCCACACTTAATAAGGTTATTCCTAGTTCCCTAGAAGCCGCTCAACAGCAGCATGTACATTTCCGCCAACAGCACTAAGTGCACGAATATTCTCTTGAGTATCATAGAATCCCATTTCTTGCAACTGGGACAGCTGTGAGGCGTATAGTTGTTCAGGAGGCACTGCAGTTGCAATATTCATAATGTTAAAATGAAGTCATTGTCTGCAAATTATCACAAGTCTTCAACGATTTGAACACAAAGATCTCCACGACAGTACGAATATAGTTCCAGCGACAAGGGTAAAATACGACATGAACTCCCGGAGTTTGTCATGTTCCCCACTATACAAGTGAACTTCCTTCGTGCAACGTGGCACATTCTAAATAACAAGCCATAAAAAAATCCCCGTTTAATCAACTTCGCAAACAGAATTCAGAAGTCGTCACTTACCATCAGGGTTAGAAGGAACAGTGTTGCCAAGACCTCCAAACATATTAAGTAAGACGTCCATATTCATTCCACCGCCAAGTCCGCCCAGTCCACCTAGTTCACCCAGTCCAGCTGGAGTTTGACCAGCATTTCTGCGAAGGAGTACACGATTTTAGAACGAAAAACTGGATCTTGACGTAAAATATGCTTCTGCTCCAGCTAACAAACTATAGCAACGGATACTATCTATGAAAATTGCAACGCAAAGACTGTCTAAATACTATCTTCAGCCACAGTACCATTACTCCTTCAGGTTACATAAAATATTATAACCTACCTAAAACCTCGTATTTAGTGGGAATCATTCGAGGTGAGGCTACTTTCCAACATTGCAACTGATGCGAAAAAAGCCCTTCCATTGTCTACAGAAACCGCCCAATCATGTTGGCAACTAAGTCTGATATTCCAAAGTATCACACATAGGGTTCAAGATTACATTGATACTTGGCAAATAAGGTTAAAGGACCTACTGTCCAGGAGTTTGCCGTCCGCGGAGACCCATCATGGCTTGTTGAAGTTGCATCATTTGCTGCATTACAGCACAACAACGTCCACTCAGTAAATCAATGTTACAGAAGTAATCAAAATAGATTCACACATCCCACAAGCATTCTCAGCATATATGAAGCAACTTGGATTCTAATTTCAACAATGCTACACAAAATACGCAACAGAAAAAATAACCCAAGTTAAATGAAAAGCACAAACCGATCAATGAAGAACAAACAACGCACCTGTAAGCTCTCAGGACTGCTCATTTGTCGAATGAAGTCAGGATTTTGCATCATGTCCCTAAATTGAGGATTCTGGTTCAGCATATTCCGTAACTGAGGCTGAAGGTTCAACATCTGTTCACAAAACCGCAAGAAGACGTTATTAGGAAATCACCAACCTTGAACAAAATACCTTGTAAAGTCAAGATTAGTGGTCAGACCTAACAATAGCCAGATTCAGACTCTCAATATTGTTTTGCCTTGCAGAACAAATATTCGGAACAGTAGTTGGAGATGTGAAAATGTAAACAACGTTTTCCCGCAACCTTGGCATCTACTCTAAATATAATTGATTTGGTCTCACCAAAGAGTCCGTAACTATCATAAGTACAGGTAAAGCACCCCAAATGAGCAAAAGTGTGGGCAGTCACGCCAACTGACTTTCAGTCGGAAACCAAGATTATAAACGGGAGACATTTGACGGTAAGAATTGATCGAGATAAATCACCTGATTCATATATTGAGGATTGGACAGGAGCCCCTGCATCATCTGCTGTATCTGCGGGTTTTGAAGCATCTGCTGCATCATTGCAGGATCCAGAAGCCCACCAGCACCGCCCATCATCCCAAGATCTGGAAGGCCAAGTCCCGCAAGATCCGGAAGAACCCCTCCTGCATCTGCTCCTGGTACTGCCGATGGTGTCTGGCCAGCTCCAGTTCCAGCAGCTGGTAACACAGCTGAGTCTGGAGTTGGGAAATGTGGCAAACATGTGAATACACAGAAGAGCCCAAATTAGGATTAAAATGTAGGATCAAATGAAAAATAAATAAATAAATAATAAAATAAAAATGCAGGAGAAAAGACGAGAAAGAGAAACCAACGAAAACAAACACCCAACAATAGCAGCTTCTTAACAGAGGAGAGATCTATTAGTCGTGGTCGGTTACATATAATAAGCTCATAGCAACATGCTTTAGATACAATTGTGCCTTTTGATGTCACTCTCGACCACACACACATTAACTGCCATAGCTGCACTCACGTGTAGGATTCCAAGGATTCGGTAGAGGAGCAGTGTTCGGTAGTGTTGTTCCAGCAGCATTAGTATTAGCTCCACCTTGAGCTTGGGCTGGACGTGGTGGATTCCCATTTACTCCCATCATAGCTGCAAACGGATTCGAAGCCATGTCGTTTGCGCCTTCTCCACCCATGGTTGCAGCATTCAAAAGCGGTTCCTGGACGGTTTCATACATGCGCCTGAGCATGTTAAACCCTTCGGGCGAGGCTTCGATGTTACTCATGGCCCGATCTGTATTTCTCATCATTTCTCGCATAAGTTCAGGATTTCGAGCGGCATCCAATGTCTGCCGGAGTGTGCCGGGATCGTTCAGAATATGGGCCAAATCTGGATTTCGCTCAATGATTTCTCGCATTTGAGGATTACTCATTATTAATGTTCGCATTAAATCAGGGTTGTTCATTAGATTCTGAACCGCAGGCATATTCATCATTTCTCTCATTAAGTTGGGGTTTTGCATTAGCTGCTGCTGCACCTGCTGAAATTCTGAAGGACCCATTCCAAAGGGCGGGGAAGCACCACCACTTGAACCCAATCCCAACCCAGGAAAACCTAAGCCACCTAACCCTGGAGCAGACCCTAAGCCACCAGGATTAGCTGGAGGAGATGCAGAAGTCGGGTTTGACGTGGGAGCAGGGTTGGCACCGGCAGGTGTGGACGATGGTGGCGCTCCTCTGACTAAATGAACAGTATGTTCGCTTTGCAGACCTGATCCAAAGCAACCTATGCGTCAGAAATATAATTTAAAACAAACAAACCTCAAAAATTGGTGATTGCGAACTCCAAGGTTCCCAAGTAGCACAAGATCCTCGCCATCTCTAGATCAGTTCAGTCGACTCTATGGATTCACGCGTGAATGAATCTCAAGTAAGCAGTACCAATAATAAGACCATAATATACACAATTGTCCAATCGCAAGAACCATGATCGCAATATCGCTTGAAAGGAAACATAGCATGGCTACTTATTTAATTTAGAGATTTTAAAAGTAGACGGTTCGTCCCAAATCTGCATCACCCGAACACGCACACGATTGATCCCTCGTGACCTAATTTGCACTCGTATGCTGAAGCACTACTTGGAGGATCGGTTGCTAACTTCCGTAGTCAGAGCAGAACAACATGTTCTGTGGAAGAGCGCCAAAGTGCAACTCCTGTTTAAGATCCTTGAAAACTACCACATATTCATCGAACGAAACAAACCATGTATACAGAAACAAAATTCCCGTGCATAAAACCAAACTCTCCAACCGTGCTCGAACCCGATGTCAACCACCCACAGGAATACCATCACGAGCTCGTTTCACACGAACCTACAAACCCTAACTCAACATCGCACGTGCAACTCATCAACAAACGAAACCCCACCGACGACCTCCACTCTCCAAACACCCTCTAAGAAAAAAACCAAAATGAGCCAATCAACCCACCCACCATCCGAACACTCACCGTAACTATTAAGCGTTTGTTCGTCCTTAAGCACCCGACCCTTGTAAATTAACCGCTGCTGGTCTGCCGGGATAGCAGACTTATCCACCAGAAACCCTTTCAATGTGAGAACCGTTGCACCCAAATCCACCTCCACCACAAACTTGTTACCATTCGAGCAGCGCACGTGCACAACCGCATTGCTGCTGCTCCCCCCCGCTGGGCTCGCTTCCGCTGCCGCTACAGCGCCATCCGGCTCTCCCCCCATCTCTCTCCCTCTCTCTCCTCCCCAAATTTCACTCTCTCAAACTCTCAGCTTCACCAGAAGCAACCAACCAACCTCAAACCAAAAACGAGACACTTCCTTCCTTCCCTCTCTCTCGTAATCCCACAACCACCGAAACTCCAACTCTAAAACCTAAGATACACAATCTCTCTAGCAATCAATAGTGGTTCCCCACAATCTGTGAAAAAGTGGGTTTGATCGTGCATTTAGGGCTGATTGCGAAGGAGGGGCGTGATCTGCACCGATCACCAAGAAGAAGAACAACAACAACAACAACGATGACTGACGAAGGCAATCCATCAACAAATTGACGACGCTTCTTTCCAGCGCCAGTAACGCAGCAGCGAAGGGCCCCGAAGATTCCGCCCCCATTCGAGTATAGATGGATGTCTCCTCCTCTGTTTCATTCGTCGAAAAAAGATGAACTACCACGTGGAATGTGCCCAAGGCTTCGTTGCCTGATGCGCTGGAGATTGATGGACGAATGAATTAAGTAGGATGATACCAATCGATGTATGGATGTATTATTATGAACGAATGAATAATTGCGGTATTCTGTAGATGTAGGGGATCAATGCGGCGCCGTCAAGATATTACATGTCCCACTTCAGAGACCGAGTTCTGTTTAATTCAATTACAGTGATGGGAATAATAATAAATGGTATTTACGGCCTTAGGAATACTTCTGAAGAAAGGAAAAATGGATGGATGATAAGCAAGCATCTATTGGGTTTTCTGGATCTCACATTTATGATGCGCTTTCATCCAATTGAATGGATGGATGTTGTGTTTGTATTTTACCGCAGTCAATGCAAAGTAATGGATGAAAGCCAAACTAATAGATAATATGGTGGTGAACTCATGAAGATTTTATTTCTGGAACTTTTTTATTATTGTTTTTATTATGTATACTAACAGATGTGTATATTTCTGTAAATATTTTAGGATTGATCAACTTGGATATGTTTCCACGTTTGGAACACAACTCTTGTTTTAAATGTTACCATTTACTTTTTGTTGAGATGCGTGTAAATTTTTTGTCAAATTAAAAGTTCCAAGATGAAGATAGAGCATAGAACATATATATATATATATATATATATATACTTTCTACAAGATGTAGTAAAAAATTAGCAAATGAGAAATATTTAATTGCTAAACATGTCAGAAATAAACAACACTTGGTGTTGCCTTATAATAAGCTGCCAAGAACAAAGTAATAAAAAACAGTTCAAATTTGAATATCTATTAAACTGGCCAAATTGATTATTTGATTTATTGATTTTATAAATATATATATATATATATATATATATATATAACCTTAATTAGATCATTCATTTGATGTCTGATAATATTTGTATTTGATGAATTTTACAGTTTTGTTTATATTATTTTTATGTTCCATAAATAAAAGTAAATCAATCAATCAATGCATATAGGATTAATTTTATTTAAAAACCATTTAGTACTATATACATCAATATATATATACACACACACACACACATATACATATATATATATATATATATCCACACACACACACACACATACTACCATAATATCCCTTCCTTTGCTTGAGTATAATATTTTAAAGTAAGCCATTTCTGTATAATAATTTACAGCAAAACAGTGAATCACAATGCACATTATGTGACCAACAATTAAATACAAATGTTCATTAATACCACACAGAAAATGGTATACAAATAAATAAATATACCCATGCAAAGAGAAAAACTAAACAAAACAAAAAAAAACAAAACAAATTAATAAACAATCATCAATTACACCATGTATATATATATATATATATATATATATATATGCCACTCTATATATCATATAGTTTTGATGTGTGGCATCTTGTAAAATTTTGTATGTATGAAATGTAATATTATATAGAAATTTAATAAATTTATATCAATATTTTCCTTCAAAAATTAAAAAATACAAAATCATATTATGATTTCCTATATTTTAATCATCATAAAATTTTTGAGATAATGATTTAATAAATTTATATCAATATTTTCCTTCAAAAATTAAAAAATACAAAATCATATTATGATTTCCTGTATTTTAATCATCATAAAATTTGTGAGATAATCATAGAAGAGAAGCCAATGTTTGCATTCAATCTTAAATGCTTTCAATAGAACTTCAATCTCTTTTCTATTTTGTATTTGTAATTAAATTGAAAGATAAGATATCAAGATTTTTTAAAAAGACAAATGTTTAAGTCAATCTCTTTTCTTTCTTTGAATACATGGCCTTTTGAATTGCATATTCAATGTTGAAAGCTATTATTAAGGAATTAGAGTAATACTAAAATTTATAATCTAATGATTTTAGTAATTTTTAAATTCATATACACAAAATTTATGTAATTTTGTTATTTCTTTGTTAAACTTGCTAGTTTGATAAATAAAGGCCAAGCTAATAAAAATATTTACATTTTTAATTTAAGATTTATTACTTATTTAATCTTTGTACCTTAAAATAGAGTACAATTAGCTTATTTTGTCTAAAAATTAAGATCATCATCTTAAATTTGTATATTAAAGAATGAAAAAACTTCCATGGTTACGATACAAATATATTCAAATTATTTATTCCAATGAAATAAATAATTAAAATTAGCTTTGAAAATATGATCCATTCCTTCCATAAAAATAAAATATTGACTCTTCAAATACAAACTTTTTACATACATGTTTGGATGTATGCATATCTTAATGTCTCTTTCAAACTTTGAAAAATTAAACTAACTTAAAAATTTAGCTTCTCTTTATTTTAATTTCAGTACTATTATGTAAAGCATATTTGATATTTTTTCTTTTATTTTTCTATTTTTTAATTTCAAGATTGGTTTCTAAAATAATTTAAAAGAACTTAGTGAGAATTATTATTTAGAATAAATAAATAAAATAAAAATATTTTCTTACAATATTCCAACTTAATACAAAAGCCAGTTAGTCTTGATATTACAACAAAATAATTATACTTTATCATCGACATTGAATTGTAGTTGTTTCTTATGATAGTCATCCACTTTGACCATTTGTCATTTTTGACATTCCTTTAATTGCACCTTAATTGTTGTGCATAATAATTAATAATTTGCCAAATTTTTTATCATATGATTATCAACTTTAAAAAAGTCAAAAGTGTTAAGTCGTAGATGATAACTAGAATTGACAAAAAAAGGTATTTGTTGAGTAAAAGAATGTATTGAATTATTATACAAAATCTCTCCTAATAACAAAAGAATTATCCAATCATCTTGATAATAATTGATGGTACACCTCAAATATTCCTCCAAAACTTGATTCACCTATTTTGTTTGTTCATTAATTTGAGGACAAAAAGCCAAATAAAGATTTATTTCTATCTTTAAAATCTTGATATAAATTGAGTCTTCCTATTCAATATAATATCCTTGAAAAATCTATAATAGCAATAGATGTTGTCAAAAAAAAACTTAGCTATTTCTTCACATATGATAGATTTTGTATATGATATAAAATATACCATCTTGGTAAAATAATCTAATATCATGAATATAAAATCATATAAATATGAGATTGAAAGGTTTATAATAAAATCCATAAAAATAAAAGACCATGGTTGTTTTGGAATAAATAATGGCTGGAGAAGTCTATAAGGTCAAAGATGAGGAGTTTTTGACCTTAAGCAAATATCACATAATTGTACAAAGTCTTTGAGTGTCTTCTATATTTGAGGCTATTAAAAAGCTCTAGATATTAGCTTGAAAGCCTTATTGTATCTAAAATGTCCAACTCTTAAAAAGTCATGACATACTTGAAGAATACATAAGCATGCTTCTCCTTCTCAAATATATAGGAATCCTTTGAAATAAAGTAGGTTGTTCTTGAACTGGAACTTAAAAGTATCATGAGACTTAGAAGAAGGATTCTTAATATCATGAATAAGAGAATCATAAGTCATACTTGATTAAATTTGCTTGATAAATATTGAATCAACAATCAATGTCGATTTTATTGCTCAAAGATGAAAATGCTATGGCTTCAAGATAATCATTCTTTATAGATCAAAAGTTGCATTTTTTTCTTTTGGTACAAGATATGAATGTTTAGAAAGGAAATCTGATAAATCTTCTTGTTTTTTAAATCTATAGATGATTTTGAAAATAAATCTTCATAAAGACATATTTTAATGGGCTTAGCAACAATTCAAAATACATGCCAACATAAAGTATTCTAAGTTCTTTTAATTTGTATATATAATATTTGAATCAAAAGTGCGTTCTAGATAATTACATCATTCTTGAAATGAATCCACAATTACAAAAAGTATTTTTTTATAGATGTTGTAGTTAATCTTGGCTGCTAAAAATTTCTTAGGATGAAAATCTATCAAATTGAACTTATCATCTACTCTCATTTGTGATAAAATAGCACCTATAGCAAAGTTTGATACTTATGTTTCCATAAAGAACGCCTTAAAAAAAACATCACTATACAAAATTGGTATAAGAATAAATATTATCTTCAAGGCATTAAAAAATATTTCAATTTTTTTACTCCACTTTAGTTTGTATTTACATGTTAGATGTATAAGAAGAGTCTCAATTTGAAAAAAAAAAAAAAATCATGAAGATTTGATAATAATTGGCAAATTTCAAAAAACATTGCATATCGCTAATTGAATTTGGAATCTTCTAATCTATGATAGTCTAGACCTTTTTAGGATTCATCACTAATCTTTTGTTGAAAATGATGTATCCTAAGAAATCAACTTGAGTTGTGTAGAATATACACTTTTCTATTTTGGCATATAATCTTGCATCTCTAAATTTTTGTAATATACAACAAATATGAAGTTTATTTTTTTTTATATTCTTAAAATAGATTAAAATATCTTTTAAATAATAAATAATAAAATCATCAAAAAAACTCACAAAAGACATCATTTATAAAATATTGAAAGTACTTGGTGCATTCGTGAATCCAAAAGATATGACATTATATTTAAAATGTCTATACCTACTTTGAAAAACACTCTTCTATTCACCTCTTTCTTTGATGCAGACCAAGTTGTATGCACCTCGTAAATCAATTTTTGTATAGATTTTTGTTTGATTGAATTGATTAAGAAGTCTTGAAATCAGAAGTTGGAGATATTTATTCTTTATGGTGATCTTATTAAGTCGTCAATAGTATACACACATCTACAAAGATCCATCTTTTTAATTCACAAATTAGATTTCTTATTCTTAGAGCTCTTAATGGACATTTTGAATGTCGTATAAAGTTTTTAGCTAAGTTCTT